CTGGGAGTTGAAGTCCACTCATCTTAAAGTGGCCAAGTTTGGACAACACTGCTGTAAAGGATGTGGAGTTCTGAACTGTGACGTCCCAGCTGCAGACAGTCTCGGCTGTGAAGCCTGTGGGTGAATTGGGTCTAGTTCTGCAGCGCAAGCTGGGTTCCCATGTGGTAAAGCTGCACTGGCTGCGTTTACTCTTTGCGCTACGTCGTAAAGCGCTGCACATTGCCGTGACTGGATGATGGGGGCAAGACGCTAGCCAAAGATTTGGGCGAGGATCAGAAGAGATCTCATGGCATCGCTTTGCATTACGTATTGGCGGTATGACTCTGTAGGGTCCGTGTTTAACGGTTTAAAAATGAAATCGAATTCTGAATGTGGATCAGTCGTTCTTTCTCTTTTTCTATTCCTCTTCCTCTGTTGCTTCTCTCCCCCCCTCTTTTTTTTTTCTCTTTCCATGATATTGTCTGTCTAGTTTTTGGTATCCCGCTTTTGTGATAATAGTTGGAATGAAATGAAATGCAGGTGCTTGGGTTGCTGTTGTTAGTGCTTCTAGGGTTGCTAATTGCTGTTTGTACTAAAGAAATAATAATAATAATGATGATGGAAAAAGGAAAAGAGATGGGAGAAGAACCCAGGAAAGTAAATAATGTATAGCCTGAGTTTCTGGGAGGGAAGATGTGGGAACAAATCAAAGGAAAGAAAGGAAACTGGGCACAACTGGCACGTTAACGGTGGTCTTATTTTTCTTCCTCTTTGCATTGCAGTGATTGGGACACCCCCAAAAGGAAAAAGAAGCTCAACATGGACTTCAAAAAGGAGTGGTCCTCCCAAGATTCGGTGTCTTCGGAGTCTGCAGATTCAGGTGCGGTCAGGGATGGGTGGGAAGAGATTCGACCGCTGGGTCCCTCCACTCGGGTCTTCGGTGCCCCACCTGACTGTACTCTAGGCATTAGGAATGGAGTTGATCCACTTCCCAAATGTGTGGAACAGGCTCATCTCCAGAAAAGCAGTGCGCAGAATTCAAGTCAGGTTGAGGGGCCTCCAGGTGGGGTTTGGCCCCAGAAGCATTCTGTGGAAAGCTATTCGGGAGCTAACTTCTACATGACCCACTGCTCTGGGAGATGGAGTGTCTCCTCCTTCCTTGGGAAGGGTTCCAAATTCTGTAGTATGGGCACAGGCAACAGTTCTTTCTCCCCTAACGCGTGCTCTCACTAAAGTTCTCATCTTCTGGCTTCCTGTCCTTGGTGAAACTTCCGAGAGTTTGCTCTGAGATCAGAGCAAGAGGCTCTGCCTTAAGGCTTGACCAAATGGGAGCAGCTCCTGTTTGTGTTCTGTCTTTGGCACAGACTGTAGCATTCCTTCATTTTGTGGGCACGGAGCCGTTGAGGCTCCAAGCCTGTGCCGTAGGTCTCGCATAGCCTGTTTTCACTAGGTGGGGAGGAAGGTACAGAGATGCTACCAAGGTGGTCATGGGAGTCGGGGGGCAGAAAAGAGCACAGGGGAAGGAGCAGAGGGGAGGTTCCTATATGTTTTCCCCCTGGGGTCCCTCTTCCCTTGGACAGCAGAATGATTGAGATGGGGGTTTCTAATCCATCCAGCTGTCCTATTCTTGGGGAAAACAGGGATCTTTCCAAACTCAGGATCTTTTCCTGGGAGGTGAAATATGTTGGGCACGTTTGTGTGCAGTAAGAAATCACATGTGTAGCACCTTTTTTGACTAGCAACTTCCCTCTGATTGTTTGCTACCACAGACTAAGGCGGCTCTCCTCCTACAAGGTCTACAGTTTGTGTGCAGTGTTACAATCCTGGCTTATCCTGGAATGAGCTGTGGGCTGCTCCACACTGCTTGGTTGTTCCCCCACCTCCTCCCATGGAGGATGGGATTAAAGGAAACCAAGGACTGTGTCAGAACCTCGCAATCAATCAATCGCCTCGCTAGTTCGCTTGCTTCGTTTCAGCCATTACAGTGATGGGGGGGAAGGTTGGGAGGTGAACTGTCAGGCGCAGATGGACTGTTATCTGGTTCTCGGGAATGACCAAGGTCGTACCAGTGTGAGACCCGTGGAGAATCTTCGACATGCGCAAGAGAGACTCAAAGGCAGAAGGGGGGAGGTGGAATGGGAACGAGGTAAAACTGAATTTTGGTGTGCGTGGGACTCAGTTCCAGCTATTGCCTTTGAGCTCTGCACTGCTTTCCGATAAATGAACTTTTCTTTGAACCTGCATTGGCTTCAGTGGGAGTTGCTCTCATTGGGAACCAAGTACTGCAGTTCTTACAGACTGTTTAGCATTAAACAGAAGCAGGGATTCTTCCTTGCTCTTCTCGGAAGAAAGTAAAGCCAGAATTCCTGATTTACACCTGAAGGTACTGAAACATGAATGGATTTTTCTCTGTTTGATAAACTGTTCCAGTGTTTGGAAGGACTAGACCAGTGTTTCTCAACCTTAGCTACTTTAAGATGAGTGGACTTCAACTCCCAGAATTCCCCAGCTAGCCATGGTGGCTGGGGAATTCTGGGAGTTGAAATCCACTCACCTTAAAGTTGCCGAGGTTGAGAGACATTGGACTAGACTAAAGCACTTCCAATTATGAAGCAGTTCCATCGTATGCAAACATGACCATGACCTTGGTTTGCAGCAAGTATGAGCCTGGTTGCTTTGACATGGCCATCCGCATTTTGGGCCCCTTCCAGATGTGTGGATTTCCAACTCCCAGAATTCTCAGCCGTTGCCATGCTGGCTAGGGAATTCTGGGAGTTGGGCCACAGATCTGGAGTGGGTGTGCTGGCGTGTTGCTCAGGTGGACATGCAAAGCCAGCCAGCAAATGCTCTTCTCATGAATCTGGGATGGACTAAGGGAGGAGAGTAGAGACCCAGAAGACTTTGCTGGGGGGCAGTTCCTCTATAGGAGCATTTCCCTTCTCTGTATAATCACGAGAATCTTTTGCTGTTCACGCAGGTGTTGGTCCAGACTCCCCCATGGAGCCAGATGTGGAGATGTTGGATGAAGATCTGTAAGTTAGCACACTCTTCTGCCTAAACGTGGGGGTTGTGGGTGGCTGCGTCTGCCAAGAACACATTTTATCTTCCATACAAACCTGAGAGTGTTTGGGGACGTACGATCCAGCTGAGGAATTTCTGAATATCTGTGGAGTATCATACATGGTGTTGTCTGTTGTGTCCAGCTACCCAAATTCTGTAGTCCACTTCAGGCGGCAGAGCCCGTCTGCCCTCGTCTGATCTCCAAAATGCTCAGTAGGGTCAAAACTAGTTAAGATTTGGGTGAGAAACTACTTGGAAATCACCAGGGCTGGGGTCTAGATTGGGAAGTTTGAAACAAAATCATAGGAAAAGGCCATCACAGACTTCTGCATTGCTGCCTAGCACAAACGTACCCATGCAGACAGATTCAGGGAGTCTTTCCTTTCTTTAATCCGAATTCTGCACCAACCCAAGGGTGACCTGTGTGAATCTGCTTCATGCTCCTTTTGCTGCTCTTAGAAGATTCTTTGGGTCTCTGGGAATCTTTGTTAATCGCTCTTTGGAAACTTAAGTTTTGCAGCCGTAGCCTCCGGCTTCGTAAAGATGAACATTTTTCTTTTTCTCTTTCTCTTTTCCTTTTCTCCCTTGCAACCTGGCACCCCAAGGGAAGCAAATTCTTTTGCTGCTAACGGCATTCTTGGCCTATTCTGTTCTCCTGTGGAATTTCACCTGATATGGATCTGACTGCTATTATCAGTTCCAAACTAGTTTTCCATCTGTAAACGCTTGGTTCCTTTCAGAGGATTAAATCCGAAAAGGGTTGGATCTGCTCATGGAGCAAAGAAGGGGAAAAAATAAAGCGAAATGGGACGGGGAGCTGGTCTGAGTCTTGCTGGGAGATTTTCACTGGGGTTTATTGTTTGAAGTGCTTTCTTTTGCCCGGTTTTGGATGTGCTGTCTTAATCTATTTACTGCCTGTGGCTTAACTCTGGCTTGTTGTCAGCAGCTGTGGGATTTTGGTGCTTAAGTCTAGTGCAGTGCTTCTCAACCTTGGCCACTTTAAGATGGATGGACTTCAACTCCCAGGATTCCCCAGCCAGGGAGTTGAAGTCCACCCATCTTAAAGCTGGCTGGGGAATCCTGGGAGTTGAAGTCCACCCATCTTAAAGTGGCCAAGGTTGAGAAGCACTGATCTAGCACCTTCATTTGCACAAGCAATGTCCAAGAAGTTTGAATAATCAGAGACCTTTATTTCATAATTGCAAGGCAATTGAACTGAGTGGCCTGATTGCGAATCCAAGGTCTGCGCAAAGCGTTTGGACCGTGTTTTGAGCAGGGAGGCCGAGTGCAGACTTTCCATCGGGTGGAAGAAACGGGCTGGCTTTGTTGCTTTGCTCAAGAAGGGTTAGTTTCTGGCTGCCGCAGACGTGAATGCCGGTTTCTGCAAGTGGTCGGGAGTGGAAGAGGCAGCTGCTGGTAGAGGAGAGGTTTGTTGGGAAGCACCACGAGAATTCGTTGCTTTATTGGGCTGGGTCCACTGGAGAACGGCGTGAAGGACGTTCAGGCAAGCAGACTTAAAAATCTGTGGGGTGGTTGGGTCTGATCTAACTGAGGAGCCGGCATTATATTGGGGCAGGAAGCCAGCAGGGGAAAAAGGCATTGATAAAAAAGCCTTACAGCCAGGCAGGGAGAATTCCTCCTGCTTTTTCTTCTTTTTCCTATCAATCTCCTTAAAGCTGATGAAAGAAAGTCTCCAAAGATAAGAGCTTCAGAGCAATCACTGGAGGGGGTGGCCCAGAAGGGGACATGTGTACAAATGTCTTTCCTTAACCCTTGTCTCAAGTTACTGTATTTCGAAGGCTTCCCACCCTTCTGTTATAGCCCAAGAGAAGACCCTGGAGGGGAACCCCTTCCCTCCCCCTGGGCCTTTTCAGCAGTGGCGCTCCTGTCCCTGCAAGGATCAGTGGGAAAGTATTTGTTTCCTCTGGAGGCGTTCAGGGAAGTCCTCATCCAATTTCTCAGCCCACATCTTCGCTGGAGAAGGTCTAAAGTCCAGGGTGGCCTGCTCGGGTTTTAATCTTTGAGATGGAGGGTGGTCAGAGGATAGGAAGGCAGCTGTGTTGGGAAAGATGGGAGCTGCAGTCCCACAGCGGGTAGGCTGGCACCCGGTGCTTTAGGAAAACAGGTTTCGTTCAGGCCACCTTGAGCAAGATGTGATTCAGACAGACAGAAGCAAAGGATATTCCCCTTCGGGCAGCAGAAGGCGAGGTGCGTTGGGTGTGCCCAGTCATGTTGGGTTGTTGTAGGTAGTCCTTGACTGACGACCACAATTGGGACCAGAATTTTGGTCGCTAAGCAATGCGGTTGTAAAGTGAGATGTCATGTGACCGCGTCACTTAGCAATGGCAATCCTGGCAATTCCCCTTGCTGTCATTAAGTGAATTTGACCAGTCGTTAGCTGAGGACTCACCCCAATCAAAGCCATTCTGGGCTTGGTCCCTCCCAGCCCCGAGCCTCAGGGAGGTAAGGGACTGCCTCCAACCCTCCCCACCTGCCTATTCCTCCCTGGCCATCTCTGCCCTTCTGGCCGCCCTGCACCCTGCCTTGCTGGGCAGCAAGCGGCCCCAGAACCACACGGCTCTGGGGCCGCAAGAAGCCCCTGAATCGCAGCACAAAGCCTTAGCCTCCCCAGCCCGCCCCAGCTGGGCCCACCCAGGGTCCGCAAAGGAGGCAGCAAAGGCAACCGGGCGATCGAATGCTCGCTGGTGCTTTGCGGCTGCTGCGGCTTGCTGGCGCTTGCTGGCACGGGCTGTTGCGGCTGAGGCTTCCAGGGATGGCTGCAGCTTCCACTGTGCTGCGGCTCGGCTTCTTGCAGCAAGGCAGGGCACAGAGTGGCCAAGAAGGCGTAGTGGGGAGAGTCGCAGCACCCCTGCGGTTGTAAGTGCGGACAGGATGCCAAGTGCCCAAATGTTGATCACTGGGGGTGCTGCAATGGCCATAACTTCAGGCACCGGTTGTGAATCACTTTTTTCAGTGCGTTTGTAACTTTGAACAGTCGCTGAATGAATGGTCGTAAATCAAGGACTGCCTGTACTCCAAATCAAATCAATCTTTACTGCGGTCATAGACCAGCTTAGGGGTTAGTAGTTGAAAAATAGCCTGTTGTGTTCTGATGGGGCCTTTCTGTGTCTCTTTCTCACACACCCACACCCCTGTCCCGGAAGCCACAACCACGCAGAAAGCTTCCTGCCTGTTTCATGTTGCCAGATGTTGTTATGATCTCTTGGTTTTCTGTTAGCAGTTTTTTCTTACCCGAGAGACTCTGCATTCTGTGCAAAAAGCATTTACCAGCTGTGCAGGGACAGAACCACACTGGCCTTCTCTCGCACGCTTCAACTGCGCATTGGGAACTGTGACCAGTTCCAGTTTTAGTGTGAGTCTTGGGGATCCGCCCTGTTTGCTGCGTCTTCTTTCTTCGCCTGAATTTCTGCCCTTTATCTTGTCTCCTGAATTTCCGTCGAGGCTTTCTGGTGTGTTTTGAGCCAGATTCTCCAACGCCCTCGTTTTCTTGAAACCACAACTGGCACACACGAATGTGTCATGGCTTATATTGGCTGGAAAGATTCTGCCAAAGTTCAGAAAACTAGATACACGAGTGGGGAGGAAGAAATAATTTAAAAATAGATTGGAACTTGACTGCTGATAATCTGGAGAGAGAGGAGGCAGGCCACAGGTCTGTCCTGGGAGGGAAAAAATGAACTCACTGACAGCAAAACGTTACCCTCTGAGAGTGGTGATCATTAGTGGGTGCCAGCCGAAATATTCAATGGTGCTTTGGGGCAGTTGCATTTTTTATAAAAATGGGTGGCCCACCCTTCAAATCTGGCAGGGATCGCTCCAGCAAAGCAGCGTTTCGTACAGTAAAATACATGCTCTTTCAGTCGGCTTTGAGGGTCTTATGGGAGAGCCTCAACAGTGGATTTTATTTTGGTCCTTCCCCTGTGGGTGGTTCAGTAAGTTGTGCCCCCTTTGTAGAGGTTAGGCTGAGTTCTTTTGCTCCTGCCCTGCAGTTTTCTCCCTGTGGACACCGCCCCCCCCCCACAACTGTGTAGCTGGTAGATATGTAACAAGGCCAGCTGGTTGGT